ACTTGACCCTACTTTTGCAATAATTATAAGCAATATCAAACAACAAACAAAGCTGAAATATAAAGAGTTAGAAATTCGCTAATTGATATTTAAATACTATATATAGAGTACTGAAGATATGACAACCCATATGAATGTTAAAATGTTTTATTTTGTTTATCAGGTATGAATGTTGAAAACTTGAAATATATCGAGCATTGAAAATTCCAAAATAAATAAAGTGTCATATAAGTTGCACATATGGAGTACTAAATTAAAAATAATTTAATTGGTGGAAAAAAAATTAATATTAAGAAACCAAGATCAAAATTTACTGGACCAGAACGATATCCTTAGAAGTTTAATTTGCTGAACACATAATTGATCAATTGTAAAGACTATACCACAATATTCAGTTATATAATTTGATTGAATATTATGCCCATAAAGTATAAAAAAGTTGGAAACATATTTTATTTCATTTTATTTTCCGGTGGTCAATTTGTAAAACTAAGCACAATTCTAGAATGGGTAAGGCCTAAATAGAAGTATACTCATGGGTTCAGAGAAGGCTGATTGCAAATTGAAGTTTTGAGTCTGGCACGGGTTGAGTTTGGGCACTTAACGGGTTGCATTTGGGCTAATTTAATTTTACGGGTCAGTATGGGTTCTGCCCAAAACAGCCCATCAGGAAAATCTTTCATTCCCAACCCATTAAATGTTGGGCGGGTTAATTGGGCTTGGGCCAATTCTGCCAGCCCTACCTACAATGCAAAATTCTTCTCTCCTTTGGTAGACTTTGAGGATACCCAAAATAGAAAGCTCGATTTCTATTCAAAATTAACGAAGATGAATCAAATTTATCAATGCCCATCAAATTATCTCTTGCCGGGTTTATAGAAAAAGAATACCTAGATACGACAAGCAAATAGAAACAAAAAATACACATGTAATCAATTAAGAATTAACTCATAAGAAACAAAAAAGTAAAATAAAATGAAATAGAGAGACACCCAACTGGAGAAACTAAAGAAAAAACTAACCTTTTGGGAAGAGAGGTGGATGAATGAACAAACAGAGAAATCTCATAGAAAGATGTTGAAAATATTACTCAGAAAACTAAAAATAAATAATTTCAAATAACATTGTATCGAATAGGAAAACAACATGAAGAAAGATGATCAGGTGTACTGGAAATAGTTGAGCCTCACCATAGCATCTTTAATCTTTAGCAAGAACAGATCCACAAGCGCAGGCAGCTAACGCATGCAAAATTTGTAGAGGTGATAGTATGCTAGAATCCCGTATTTTAGTCGTAGTTTGCGCTTCAATTACTGTATTTTATGTGTGTTTGAGTTTAAATGTTAGTATATTGCGCTTATTATGTATTTTATGCCTTGCAGGAAGTGATTCCGAGCTATTAAGATAATTTGAAGCTAATTTGAACAAGTTAGAGCTTTGAAGTCTAAGTAAATGTTTAAGAAATTAAGTTGGAATTACGTTCGGGGATCGAGGACCAAGTATGGATGTCAAAGAGTGAGAAAACAAAAATTACTCTAAGAAAATTGCACTACCGCGCCGCGGGGCTCAGGGCGCTAGTGCAAAATTCCCGCAGAGTGAAAAAAAATCAACTCTCTGAAAATCCTCACTAATGTGGTGCATGGGGCGGCGCGCCAGTGTATTTTCGCGGTCCAATTGTTCAACTTCGGCTCGGAAAGGGTAGTTTCGTCTCCGTTCCTACATGGTATAAATACATCAAAAACACGAATTTTAGAGGACTTTTGACCTTGGAAGCTTTGGGAGAGTATTGAAGGTTACAAGACACAAGATTTCATCTTCTTTCCATCAATTCAATACGGGAGCTTGGATTGTAATGTTAGATTGATGCTTTCTTATTCTTTAACTCTTTTTGTGATGACTTCCTTCGTAATTATGGAGTAGTTTACCTTAGGGTTTGACGTGATGTGGTGACTTGGTTATTGTTTATGGATTTGATTGCTACTTAATTGCTTGAATTTATTGGAAGAGTTTTAACTCTAGTTGTGATTTTATTCATTATCTTGTTTAATCAGAAGAGGAGCATAATATTGAATATTGTTGCAACGCATATCTTAATTTATTTTGGTACTTCTTTAAAGTAATCGAAGGAGCTTTGTAATCTACCTCTTAAATTAAGATTGAGAAATATTCGAGAGAAGTTTCTCTTAGACCATTCTTACCAATAGATTCTTGCAAGTTTCACCCCACTTCACATTAGTTTATTTGAAAGATTTAGATTTAATCGAGAGAGGATTCTGAATCGGAAGCATAAGCTAATCATCTATTGAATTCGTGAGAATCGATAAAACCTCAAGAGTGAAATATAACAGTATCATATCCAGAATAACAACTTGCACCTATCATGTCAAAACCCTTATTTCTCACATTGATAAAAAACCAACTCTGCTAATCTCTAGTTCTTTGCAGTCAATTGTCAATTTCTTTACATTAGTAGTTAATCATAGTTCGTAATCAATCCAAATCAAGTTTTGGTCATCCTAAATAGCAGTTAAACCAGAAATCACTTGAGCATTGTTTAAATCCAATCTCTGTGGTGACGATAATTAAATTATATTATCTTTGGCTAGCGAGCATCAATTTCGAGTTGTGTTTTGCGCTCGTCAAGAGGAAGTCTCAGTGTTCTGCTTAAAAATTCATACTTAGTATTTAAGAATTACAACAGACAACAACAACAACAACAACGACCCAGTAAAATTTTATTAGTGGGGTCTGGGGAGGGTAGTGTGTACGCACACCTTACCCCTACCCCGAGGGAGTAGAGAGGCTGTTTCCGAAAGACCCTCGGCTCAAGAAGACGAAAAGAGACAGTATCAGTATCACCAATAGAAACCATAAAAAAAATAACATCATGGAAATGAGAAACTAGATGCAAAGCAAACGCGATAGACAGTACATAGACCCGACACTATAGTAAACAAAGGAGTAGTAAGACACAACATTACCACTAGCCGACATCGACAAAACCATACCAGACTAGCCTCACAAAGGTACGAAGTAAGGGAGACTCAACTACCTCCTAACCTACAACCCTAATACTCGACCTCCAGAACTTTCTATCAAGAGTCATGTCCTCGAAAATCTGAAGCCTCGTCATGTCCTGCCTGATCACCTCTCCGCAATACTTCTTAGGCCGTCCTCTACCTCTTCTCATGCCCTCCAAAGCCAGCTGCTCATGCTTCCTTACCGGAGCATCCGGGCTTCTCCTTTGTATATGTCTGAACTATCTGAGTCTCGCTTCCCGCATCTTGTCATCAATGGGAGCCACGCCCACCTTCTCCCGAATATCTTCATTCATAATCTTATCCATCCTAGCGTGACCGCACATCCACCTCAGCATCCTCATTTCTGCTACTTTCATCTTCTGGATATGTGAGTTCTTAACAGGCCAACACTCAACCCCATACATCATGGCCGGTCTAACTATCGCTTTGTAAAACCTACCTTTGAGTATCGGTGGCACTCTCTTATCACACAAGACTCCAGATGCTAACCTCCACTTCATCCACTCCACCCCAATACGATGTATGATATCCTCGTCAATTTTTCCTCCCCTATGAATAACCGACCTAAGGTACTTAAAACTATCACTACTTCGTATGACCTGTGATTCAAGAATTACAACAGAGAAGAATAAAAATGTTATGAAATGTTGGAGAGAGAATATCTACTATAGAAAGAAGAGGAAATTTGCACTGAAGAAAAAAGGTGAACGGAAAAAGAATCGAAGTGGAAGCCAGATGTCCATAAAGTGACTGTGCAATGCACGTGTTCATATGAGAAGAAAAAGAAAATGAATAAGCAATAAATTAGGTCCACGTGTGATAAAAGAGGCTCATCAATATTGTACAATTTACTTTGCTCTTGGTACAACTATCTAGTGCATTGTTCGTCTTTGTCTTTTCATTTATATATAAGTAAGTAAAAAGTAAAATGTGGGTAAAAAGCTGTACAGTTAGTGGTGGTGGCAAGATGACTAAAAGATAACAGTTATCCACTCATATTATCTATTAAAAAATGGATTGCATAATTAATGAACTTTTTAAAAATGGATCAAATATGAATAAGAATTATATTATCCACTTATAAAATGTATAACTAATGGATTAACTTTTATATTTATAAAACCTCAATTGGGGTTGCTCAAATTTGGGAGACGAGGAATTCTCCCAAAAGTGATCATATTCAAGAAGCCATGGATAATATGGATATCCATAATTCCATATTATCAGCCCGTTAACTTATTTTTTATCCGTATTAAATATGGATCGGGTTGAATAGTTTATCCATTTTTACATTACCCATTTTCTACCTGCCCATATCCGACTTGCCACCCCTATGTACAGTTATACCAATTTATAAGATCATAACAATTAAGATAAAGGGGAAACAACTATATTCAACTAGTAAATTAGCTTGCGCTTTGCGCGATCTTAAAGAAATTTAAAATAAGATTAAATAATAGTATCATGTAAAAGATAGTAAATCTTTACTAACCAATTATTTATTCATAATCTTACCATGAACTATTATAATGGATAAACAACCTACTACAACTGGTAAAATTGCATTAACAGTTCAATCGATATCAAGGCTATTGTAATATAGCATGTGTCATGCATGTGATCAGTTAGTTAGGCTGTTAGGAGTAGTTGAAGTTGTTAATATAAGTTAAGGGTAGATTAGTCATTTTGCATTCATTAATCTTCTTCTTCTTTAGTTCTTTGTATATAACGATGCTGAAGATCAATAGAACGGAGGCTTGATCATTCTCTCAATTAACCGACTCTCTCTCAAAATTACTTCTAAAACCGTCCTCAATTGAAGCCCTTGGTTAATCCTTGCATTTTAGCATGGTATCAGAGCAGCGTGCCTGGATTGCATCGTGCTAGATCTTTGATTTCTCCTCCCACATTTCTATCACCGATTAATCGAAATTTGTTGAAGATCGTCAAAATTTATCAATGTCAGAGACTGATTCGTCAATGTCGGAGATGGCAGCAATTGACCACAATCATCCGCTATATATTAGACTTTCTGATACTCCTAGCTTAGTCGTGGTACCTGTGAAGCTCACAGGCTCGGAGAATTACGGGCTATGGAGTAGGTTGATGAGGATTGCACTTATGGAGAAGAAGAAATTAGGTTTTGTCACTGGTAGTTGCAGCAGGAGTGCGTATGAAGGAGAACTGCTAGAGTAGTGGGAGACTTGCAACACCATTGTTCTCTTATGGATTATGAACAATGTGGCACCAAAACTTATAGGTGGAGTCATGTATGCATCTGATGCACACCTCGTGTGGGAATATTTACGAGAAAGGTTCAATAAGGTAAATCGTGTTAGGATCTTTCAATTACATAGTGAAATTGCCACATTATCTCAAGGAACTAGCACTGTTTCAGTGTATTTTTCAAAATTAAAGGAGTTATGGCATGAGTATGATGTTTTGGTTCCATTTCCTAATTGCTGTGAGAAATCAAAAGATCATGCAGAAAATTTGCATCAACAAAGAGTTATGCAATTCTTGTCTGGTTTGAATGAGTCATATGATCAAGCTAGAAGGTAAATCCTTATGAAAATAAATGCACCTAGCCTAAATCAAGCTTATGCCATGATTATTCAAGATGAAAGCCAACATAAAATAGAAGTGAATGCTGTAACTACTGATAAAATAGAGCCATTAGCTATGCAAGCAGGAAGACGAAGAGGAAGGAGACAATATCTTCAGTGTGAATTCTGTCATCTAAAGGGACATACTAAGAAAAATTGTTACAAGATCATCGACTACCCTGTTGATTTTGTTCCAAAAAGGAGATATGGTGAAGGAGTAAGGACTCAAGGTGATTGACAGCAGAGTCCTGACACTGGGAATCAGAATGGTTGGAATGGCACCAATACTGGTAAACCTGGATGGAATAATCCTAATGCTGGCAAGCATGGTGGCAATGGTGTTGGTAAACCAGGTGGTTGGAGAAGAGAACCTATGGCTATGATCAACAATGCAGATGTAAGTACATCTTCTGTGCAGGATATGGGAGATAGTTCATCTGGAGCTGCTGAGCACAAGGGATATCATTACTTCACCAAAGACCAATACAATCAAATTTTGAGTCTCTTGAACAAGGAATCTGGGGAGAATCAGTCAAATATGGTAGGTACAGGTGAGGTTAAGTGTTTGATGAGCAGCTTTACACAGAAATCACAGGAGAAGGAATGGGTTGTAGATTTAGGTGCTACCCATCACATCACTTCTGATTTAGAATTACTAACATATATTAAGTGTAAAAGGAAAACTGATAGATATAGGGTGCATCTTCCAACTGGAGAACAGGTTGATATTACTCATATTGGTAGTACAATCTTATTAGATAAGAGAAAGATTAAAGATGTGCTTTATGTTCCCAATTTCAAGTTTAATTTTCTCTCAGTAGCAAAGCTAACAAAGGAGCTGAAATTTAATGCCAATTTCTTTCTTGATTTGTGTGTGTTTCAGGATCTTTGGAATGGCAAGGTGAAGGGGATAGGTAAAGAAAGAGGAGGATTATATGTGCTTAGAGGACCGGCTAGCAGAATAAAGGCACTTAATTCTATAAGCAGGGCAAGCAAAGATTCAGGTAAAGTATGGCACAACATGCTAGGTCACCCATCCTCATCAGTAATGAAACATGTAGTAGGTTTGCATAATAAGGACAATAAGATGTCACAGGAGAATTGTTTGATATGTCCACTAGCAACACAGACTATATTGAAGTTTCCATTGAGCAATTCCAGAGCAAAAGTAGTATTTCATCTTGTACATATGGACCTATGCGGACCCTATAAAATTGCTACATTTGATAAGAAACAATACTTCTTAACAATTGTGGATGATTATTCTAGATATATATGGGTGTTTTTTTTTGCAGCTAAAATCTAAAGTAGTAGTGGCAATAAAATAGTTCATTACCATGGTTCAAAACCAGTTTGGTATTGTAATTAAAACGATAAGATCAGATAATGGATCTGAATTCTTTAATGCACAATGTTCAGAGCTATTAACAGGTCTTGGTATAATTCACCAAAGCAGCTGCCCTTATACTCCACAGCAGAATGGTATAGTGGAAAGAAGGAACAGATATATACTTGACACTGCAAAAGCCTTGAAATTTCAAGGAGTAATTCCAATCAGATACTGGGGAATGTGTGTTAAAACAACCGTATACCTGATTAATAGGTTACCATCAAGTGTTCTAGGGGGCAAAACTCCATATGAGTTGTTATATCACAAGAAGGCTAATATTGCACATTTGAGAGTTATGGGTTGTTTATGTTATGCAACAAATTTGGTCAAGACGGACAAGTTTGCAGAGAGGGCCAAAGCAGCCATTCTCATGGGATATTTTGAAACACAAAAGGGTTATATTCTGCTTGATTTAGCCACAAAGTAGTTCTTTATAAGTAGAGATATTATATTCAAAGAATCAGAGTTTCTATTTGCTAAGAAAGATGGAAGCACTTCATTGGATGCACAGGAATATATAGAGCAAGGAGCACTGCAGTTCTCACCTCTGCACACACAGCCAGGCAGCAGCATATATGATAGAAATGTATCAACCTCAACAGCAGAAGATATGGGTGTGCAAGACAATAGACATAATGATCTGCAGGAAAACCTACCAGCCCTACAGGAGACAAATACTGATGGTATGCAGGAAGTTTCTCAAAATGTGGAGGATATGTGCATTGTTCATGCAGGTACACAAAGTGATGGACATCAAGAAGGTGTAGAAGTTTCAATCAGCAAGCAGGAAGATTATTATTATTTTTTCTTCTTTCATTAGTTTTAAGTTAATTGATTATTTTAACGTTAGAAATAGATAATCAATTCAATTCTACAAATTAGATTGTTTTAGAACTTAACTTAGGTTTTTAATCAATTTTATTAGGATTTAAAAAATTCAAGAAAAAGAAAAAAATGTGAAAGGCTGTGTTTGTTTCCGAATTGGGCCAAAACCTTAGCGTTGGCCCAATTTTCCTTTAAACCCAACTCGCCCCAAGCCCAGTCCGTTCCAGCCCTCATTTAACCCAAAACGGCATCGTTTTAGTAATGCTAATCCCAGCCATTCAACCCATCTCATCCAACGGTTCATAACTCCCCTCTCTAATCCCTTATATCTGTCGGAGACACCCCCCCAAACCCCTCAGACCCCTCTCACTTCTCCATCTCTCTCACTCAATGAAACCCTAGCCTCCCCCAAATCCCTCACCCCCCACCGACTGGCGGTCACCGTCCAAACAGCCCCAAATCTTCACCCTATAATCCCCACACTTCCCTAATCCCAAATCCCTTACCAGTTTTCCCAAATAATCATCCAAACTCCCCGAATTCCAAATCTAAGAAGTCAAGAAAACCTAGTTATTTTTCTTTTTCGATTCTTTCCAAACTCGGGTTTGTCTTTCGTTATTACCTACCCCAATCAACTACCTTCAGAGTCGAAGGGTGATTTCATGTCGTTGATTGGTCACCTCTGCTTGATTGGCCTCAGACCCTTTCTTCTCCGTTCAAAACCTTAATGGCTCAGGATAGTAGCCCCATAGCTTTGAGGTATCGCTTGGTATTCGACTCTTCGGCCAAGCTATGGTCGTTATCGTTACAGGCAGCCATTGTTTCTGTCTTTCGAGCATGAACCAGTGCTCATGTGACGATATCGCCCCCTGCTCGGATTGTTTGAAGCTAGCAGTGATGTCATTAATGGGTAATAATTCCTTCCGTTCTTTCATGGTCATTTGGCTTAAGTGTATGATTTACTCACAGACTGGTGTTTTGGTTGTTTCACATGATATAGCTTAGTTTTAGGTTAATTATCGCATATTTTAGCTTAGTTTCATTTGTACTTAGCTGATTTTGCTAAAATTATCATTTGAAATGCCTGCTTAATGATGCATAAGTAATGGACTATTAGCATATCTTTTCATATGTTTAGCATGTTTAGATTAGGCAGGATTTAAATTCATTTAATTCTGTGTTAGGTTGCATAACAATTAGTAATTTGCAAGAATTGGGGGACTAAAAGGTATACTAAAATCAGAGAATCTTAGGTATTTGGGCAAGAAGTTTCTATAAGGGACTTAAGTGCAATAAAATAAAAGAACTAGGGATAGTTTCAGAATTAAAAGATGCTAAAAAAATAGAAAGGGGGACAGTTGTCAAAAGAAAATATCTGAAAAGGGACAACTGTCCAATTCAGTTGTAAAAGATGCTCTTTTCCCTAAAATTTAGGGATTGCATTCTGAGAATTATTCCCTTATCTTTAGGAGCACATGACAGATTTTTCACTCTATATAAAGGATCTCACTCACACATTTTTGGGGGGAATTGGACAAAAAGAAAGGACACACACAGAATTCACTCTTTATTTTCAATTTCTGCCCTAATTTCATACGGATTTCTCTTCCAAAAGGCAGTCTGTGACTTCATTTTAATATAAAATGAAGATCTAGGATCCACCTGAATCTCTGGTTTCTTTTCTATATTATTGGGATTTCCTGGATTTCTGGTTTTGAGGTTTAAGGCTGTTGTCCATTGTTTTCTGCTGCTGCTTTCTTCCCAGTTTTCAGAGACTTATTTTCTTTCTTCTCTTTCTTTACTACTATTAAGGTATGTGCTTGATAGTTTCAAATAATGTAATTTTTATTTGAATATCACATTGTTTTGAAATTTCTATTGTTTGTTAGTTATGTGTATGTTGGATGTTCCTCTGTGTCTGATTGTAAATTTGAGCTTACATTGAAGAAAAAATGGTTGGATAAATCTTCATACATGTTGGTAGCCTTAGTGATAAAATAATTATCAGTTCTGTACTCTGATTTATGACTGGTGAGGTTTGGTTTGCTGTTGTTGGATTCATATCATGTGAAGTTCTGGAAATTTTCTGTTAGATGCTGGCTTAAGAAGTGAGATGTCAGAAGTGTTGGGGATGAGCTTGGAAATCTGACCAGTGCTTGGCCTGATTTTAAAAGTTTTATCAAGTGAAAGTGGTCATCTATTGTAATTATTGAATCCCAGTTAGTATAGTTACTAATATTGTTCTTGATACAAAGTTGTAATAACTCATGTCTATTATCAGTGAATGTAGTTATATAGATTCAGTAGATTGATAGTAAATGTTCAAGAAACACAGATTATGGAATGCCATCGCATAGTAGTTTAGCACGAGTCCCTCTTGCTCGAAATAGCTTCATCATTTGTAGTTTATTAACAATAGGAGACATGAATGCTAGTTTGAGAATGATATTGTATAAGTGATTCAATTGGAGCTGGTGTTAAACTCGTTTGAAATACTTTTCGTCTGTGTGACTAGTTATGGGCATAACTGGCCTTTGTCTAAGGTTGTAATTAATTGGACTCTATGGCTACAAGGTCAAGGCTTCAAGAGGAAGCCAGAAAGTGGAAGGCCTAATATGACTGGGCTTCACATGAAAGCCCATCTGGACATCATTCATCTTTGCAGTATTTTGCTTAGTGGTTAAGTGACAAACCTTGTTATATATAAAGCTTAGTGCTATTGATTTTCACGTTTAGCCCATGTTTTGCTCATAACCAACCTGCGTACAGCCATTCAGTGACTGAAATAATATCAAATTAATCTAATAGAATAACCAATCATACGCTAGTCAACCCCATCACTTAATGAAAGGAAAAATCATATAGGAATCCATGAGATGAACTTTATAATATTAGAAGCTTATGCCAAGACTGTTTTGCTTCATATTTCCTTAATTTCCACATTTGTAAACTCTTGGCCTTGCGATAATCTTAGACTGGTTTTCGGACAAACAATCTTCAAATATTTTAGTTTGCTTTAGGCGCGCATTTAATCTACTATCGTAATTGTGTACACGTTCGCGCAACTTTGGCCAACAATCTTAATATTAATAAAGCGGGACTAATTATGTACACGTACGCGTGACCTGATTTTAGCGCACCAAATAAAACGGATTCACACTCATGTGATCCATTTCAAAGATAAATTCATAAGCGCCATATCTAAAAGTGGTAAAAGGTAAAAATGAATATAGGTTTTAAAACACGTAATTAAATAATTTAATTAAGCCAGGTGTGATTAAAGCGACCATGCTAAAACTATGAAATACGGGAGTGCCTAACATCTTCTCCCGGGTTAACAGAATTCCTTACTCGGTCTTCTGGTTTTTGCAGACTTTAAACAGAGTCAAATTTTCTCGATTTGGAATTTAAAATAAACCGGTGACTTGGGACACCAAAAATTATCCCAAGTGGTGACTCTAAATTAATTTACCTATCCCATTTTGAATAATATCACTTTAATTAAAAAAACTCCCTATCCCCCTCAGGAAAAAGGAGGTATGACAGCTCTGGCGACTCTACTGGGGACAAGAACCCAGAACTTCTGGTTCATGGTTCAGAATTCGAGCTTGTAATGTAATATGTATTTGGCTTTATTGTTTGTTGATATTACTGTGATTGTGGGCCTAATGTGCTAGTTATCGCTCATTTACCACTTTGATATTATTTGAACTGTATTAAACTGTCTTCTTACGCCTCCCTTCCGAGCCTTCTAAAAATATGGTGCACACGTACGCGTGGCCCACTTTTTTGTTAGAGGTCATACCAAATAAAACGAGGATGGATCAGCCACTAGGCCGGGTAGACTTTCGTGCTCCCGGTACGTCGCTCTCACCTCGGCTCAAGTCGTCCGCTTGGGTAAGCTATATCTAGAACACACCCCCAGGTTTAAACCTAGAATAACATAGCCTTATGTCGGATCCCTAGTAGGAATGTTTATTTTCATCACGTGCATTTGACTTCGGGGACTCAACACATGGGTTGGGTCCGTCTAGGACAGGTGTACCCGAAATAACGACTATCCTAATGTATCTTACCTGCTATGTGTGCATTTATTTATTTCGGCTTATTTGTTGACCGGTTTAGAAAATAAAATAAAAACCAAGAGTGAGGTAGGATAGAAAATTCACCCGGTTCGAAAAACTCTGATATTTGAAAATTCCTCAAAACTCTGCCAAAATTTTTGAAAAAAAGATAGAGAAAATGCATTTCAAAAAATGAAAGTAAATCAATATCATGCTTTTCCAATTATGTCAAAACTGATCGAACTACGCGGGTTTGATTCTCACCGGACGCGAGATACGTAGGCAAACCTCATCGGTACCGAACCCAATTTTTCCAACCAAATAAATAAAGTATGTCCATTGGTCAGAAAATAAAACCAGCCCAGCTTCGATTAAGTCCTGCGCCGTTTTTGCCGGAATAGCCTTAGAATACCTTTAAATATTTGAAGGGCTAGTCTCGCTAAGAACGGACATGTCAGTCAATAAGGCATCACTTTTCCCATAAAGTGCCTTACCCCGGCCTCAAAACTTTATTTGAAAGTGGGAAGGGGCCATTATTGCAAAGATGACTATTTTGGCCAACGCTGCACAAATAGCCACCTTCAGGTGATTTCCCTTTGAAAAATTGAAAATTGATTTTTGCAAAAGAGTCTGCTGGTCTGTCTTTTGAACTAGAGTCAACCCTAACCCTGACCATTCACAGGTACAAAATGAACACTGTCCAGAATCCGCCATTAAATATTGTAGAGCAGGCTCCACTGTAGCTTCAAATGTGGTGGTATGACTTGGATAAAGATGGTCAAGACTGGGTAGTAGAACATTTGGGTGCTCTCACGGATATTATGAAGGTCAAGCCCCGGAATGATCTGATCAAGGCTTTAGTGCCCTTCTGGGATCCCGTTCACAATGTCTTCCGCTTCTCAGACTTTGAGCTCACTCCTACCCTGGAGGAAATAGCCGGATATACTGGTTTCGGACGGGACTTGAGAAAATAGCACCATATATTCCCAAGTCCTCCCTCTGTGCGCCGGTTCTTTGATATCTTGAACATCAGTAAACAAATAAGGAAGAACAATGTAAACAATGGATGTTGCTATTTCTATTTCCTGTACTCCAGGTATGGACATCCAAATAGGTTTGAAACGCATTTAAAGGAGTTGAACAACAAGCAAAGCAAAGATACTTGGAAAATGCATCATCGTTTTGCTTTCATAGTGGCATTCCTAGGCATCATGGTCTTCCTAAATGAAAAAGGGATGATTGATATCCGCATGGCTAGAATTGCACAAGTCCTAACTGCAAAAGAAGATCACACACTTGCTCCACTTATATTGTCGGATATCTATCGGGCATTAACACGGTGTAATTCTAGGGCGACATTCTTTGAAGGTTGCAATATCCTTCTACAAATGTGGTTAATTGAACATCTTCGCCATCATCCGAAATTTATAAGCTACGGCCCAAGAAAGAGCAACTTCATTGAGAGTTATGAGGAGAGGGTAAAAGATTACAACTCTCCAGAAGGAGTTGAAGCTTGGATCGCCCACTTGAGAACTTTAAAGGCGAATCAGATTGAATGGACTTTAGGATGGCTCCCAGTGAGGGAAATCATACACATGACAATCACAAAGAACTATTTGCTATTGATGGACTTGAGAAGTGTCCAACCATATGCACCGCAAAGGGTTCTAAGACAATTGGAAGGATATCAAGTGGTGCCTGAGGATGAAGATTTGAGTGTCCAAGTTATTGAGCTACACCCCGAAGCCCTAGTTCCCGAGGCTTTAATCCAAAAAATCTGGAATGGTTGACGATACTTAAAAGAGGAAACCCAAGTGCCCAATCTTGCAAGAGGAGAAGTAGATCTGGGATATGACTGTGTTAATGATGAGCCAGAGACCGAGCCTGAAAGGCCCGCCAAAAGGCCTCATATTCAGGCTTTTGATGACAAAGTCCTAGAGCGTTTGGCCTGGGGAGAAAAGGAAAAGAAATATCAAGCCACCATCCATGCCTTAGAGGAAAAGTTGAGGAGCCTCGCATTTGAGAATGACTTACAGGCACAGGTAACCGAAGGTGAAAAGAGAAAATTGACCCGAGAGAATGAGGCGCTCCGAGCCCAACTCCGGGACATGAGGATAGCCACCGAAATGCCTATAAGGAACGAAAGAGATGAAAAAATCATCAGTAACTTGAGAATGAAGGTACACGACTATGCAACTGACTTGATAAAGGCCGAAAACGATTTGCTAAATGCTCAAACAAAGTTGGCCAAAGGAGCAGAAGAACATGCCCACCATTTGAGACAAAAATATGGCAAAGAAATAACAGTTCTAAAGGAAAATCTGTTTGCCCTTGGGAATGAAATGGTCCAGCAAACCAAAGATTTTAAGACAGAAAAGGAGCACTGCTACGTACTAATTGGCCAACTAGAAGAAAGCGTGCAACAGCTACAGGACCAAAACAATACGAGCACACAAGTGTTGGAAGCCCGGGCCTAGCAAATTGGGCGTCTGCTTCAAGAAAAAGGAGTTATCAGAACCAGGATTAAGGAGATAGCTGACTATGTCATGATGAAATGTCACGAGTGTGAAGACATGACTAGGTCCATGTTTTTCACTTCTATGATGACCTTCGTCCACCGGGTAATGGATGACTTAGACCGTCTTCAAGAAGACATTGCGCGAAGGCCCGCGCAAAGACCAGCTGATGTCTCGCAGGCTCCCAGAGTACCAGTGGAGGCTCTCATGTACTTTTGACTTTCTAGTTTTTTGAGTCTGTACTTTACTGCTTTCTAGAGTTTTGTTCAAAGCTGTTTATTTCGAGTCTGTATGTTTTCTTTTGTAGTCGTCAGTACTTTTAAGTCCTTGTAATAGAAAACAATAAAAAAACAAAGATGTGACTTTATCAATGAAATATTGAAAACCCAAAAGATTTTATTTTCTTTCATTTCGTATTTATATCCTTGAACTACGTAATGATCTGATTCATGCGGCGTCATGATACGTAGGCAATCCCTATAGGATTCGATCATAGTCTTAAAATTAAAAAAAAGAGAAAAAAAAAAGAAAAAAAGAGAAAAAAAAGTTGGAACAAAAAGAAAAGAAAAGAGGGGCCAAGCAGAAGGAAGAAAAGAGAATGAAAATTAAAGAGCGAAAAACAGGAAAAGGAGAGAGGGAAAGAAAATCAGGATTTGAAATTTGGAAAAAGCTGGGATGAAACACACAAGCCGTCACAAAGCATTTAGAAACGTTTAACTGCTCAGGTGCATTGCATCCCCAATATGCGATTCCATATCTGTTAAATGCTTCAAAACTGACCAAGTTATTATGTGTGCCTGTTAAGTTAAGGTTCTGTTTAGGTGGTAAGTTTGTTGGCATCCTGGCAAGTCACCACTATAACACCAGATCAAAGCGCAAGGAAGTCATGGCCAGCAAAGAAACAGACACAGGAGTTGTTGACCCGCCGAGGGAGATTGTAGAATCAGAGTCTGAAATGAAAGAGGAGGTCCACAGGTTGAAGCATCAAATGACAAAAATGTATCAAGCCTGGATCAGGGGGCATCCTTCACCTTCATTCCCCGCTAACTACACAGAAAATCCCGCTTTCATCCCACCACTGACACAAGCCCAGGATCCCACAAC